GTACAGTTTGATGCCGTACAGTGTGTTGTCGTACTCGAGATCTCACAGAACACCATCCCCATAGGCCCAGGCATCATATCCGAGGGTGCCAAGGAAGTCGCCAAGAGGTCGCTACCTGGCTCGAACTGGAGACCTCTGGCTGGCTGAGGACAGGACTGAACGCTTAGCGCCTGAAGGTCGTTGCCACCACTTTTGTGGACAGACAGACAGACAGACAGACAGACAGACAGACAGACAGACGAACTTTAGCGGTGATCTGTCCTCCAATCCTCCCCTCCACTTCGTTACGGGGGGATTTACGGTCAAATCCTCCCCTCCACTTCGTTACGGGGGGATTTACGGTCATACGGTCACGGACGGACACAATTTCGACCGACTGTCCTCCAATCCTCCCCTCCACTTCGTTACGGGGGGATTTACGGTCACCGCCTTACGCCCAACGTCTGTGGCCAGACATGCGCTGAAGGGACCGCACATCCCTCGCTCCTCTGGATCACGCAGTAGGTATTCACATGCACCATGGTTTGGCGGGGTGAGGAGTTTGTCCACATGCACGTCCACCCGTGGGTATGTGTTGCCTCATTGAAGCGTCCACCTCTTGGAACATACATCCGACTGCAGACGACGCGTCCGGCTATAGACCTGCTGTGCATCCGTCAGTAGAGGCGCCCGGCTTTCGAAGCGCTGCCTGTCAACACGTTACTCATCGACATGTCGCTGCCCGGCGCGCATCCTCATTCCAACAAAATGCCACCTAAACACATGTGGACACACACGCAGTACATATACAGCGGCCCATGGCGAAACGGGGCGGAATGAGATGCACCTGGATGGGCGACGGAAAGCCGGTGCGGAGCCAGGCGTACGTAGGGTTAGCAGGCCAAGCAAGGAGGCGCAATTGGTGTGGTATCCAATAACTAAGTCCATCAAAGATGGTGGTAGTGAAAACTACCGATTAGGGTGGGCATAGCCCGAAGTAGGCGGCGTCGCGGTACGAGGTTGTCGTACAGGCCTCGAAGTTGCAGATGACGACCCAGACAGACGTATCAGTACGTACAGTAATCGGTAGGCAGTTAAGCACTAGAGACCAGTGTCTCGACTGTAACAGAAACAGTCCCATTCTCGCGACAGTACGAGAATACCGTTGACAGTAACGGGTTTACAGAGCCTTACGTACAGCTGTAAGACTAGTAGCCACAGCTGCTACTCAGATTACGCTAAGTACAGAGCGTAATACAACAACTATCCCCCTTCTCGCGGCAGCGTCCTCGCTGCCCCTTGAGACCGAAGACGGACCTCATCCAGCAGAGGCTTCAGATCCGGGGTGAAGTTGGCAGCAGGCTCCCAGCTGTTGTGCTCAGACGAGTAACCAAGCCACTTGACAAGGTACTCGTGCACGTTACGGTGACGCCGACCAGAGCGGACGCGGCGGAGCCTGTAATCCAGGATGCGCTCAACAGAGTACTGGGGTTCATTGTTAATCCAAGCCACCGGTCCCGGCTCCTTGGTTACACTAGGGGAGGACTCGTCAGCTTCACGGTATGGGCGAACCAAAGACACGTGAAAGGTGGAATGAACCCGCATGTCAGACGGCAGGCGTAGCTCAACAGCAGCATAGCCAACCATGCGTACTACAGGGAATGGACCAACCCAGCGAGGAAGCAGTTTGCGTGGACCCGTGACCCTACTGCGAAGGTTCTTGGTACTCAACATCACTAACTGACCCGGGGTGAAGACCACGTCTTTCTTGTTGCGGTTGTAGTAATCCGCGGCCCGTTGTTGAGCAGCTTCGAGGCAGGCCTTGGCTTCGGCAAGGCGGGATACAAAGGACTTGGCAAACGTCTTAGCAGCAGGAACAGAGACGTCCAACTCACGCCAAACAGGCAAGGCGGGATGGAATCCTTACATCAGGAAGAACGGACTTTGCCCAGAGGAGCGGTTCACAGCATTGTTCAGTGCAAACTCAGCAGCAGTCAAGTATGTATCCCAGGCAGACGGGTTACGGCCAGCAAAGTTGCGCAGCATGTCACCTAACGTGCGGTTAACACGCTCAGTCTGACCGTCGGTCTGAGGGTGATACGCAGTCGACAGATTGACGCGCATAGACAGCAGCTCACCCAACGCAGCCCAAAACTTACTTGCGAATTGAGGACCACGATCAGAGACCACGTTAGCAGGGACTCCATGCAAACGTACCACGTTATCAAAGAACAGGCGAGCAGTTTGCTCAGCAGTACAGGCGGTGGTGGTAGGAGCCAGGTGGCAGCGTCGTATCCCCCTTCAGTTTTGGGCAGTGCGACAACAAAGTCCATAGAGACACTTTCCCAGGGCGCATTCGGAATGGGCAGCGGTTGCAACAGACCGTGACCCTTGCCCGACAGGGGTTTGTTAGCCTGACACTCACTGCAACAGAGGACGTAGTTCTCGGCGTCCTTAGCCATACGAGGCCACCAGAAGGTACGGCGCAGGAGTTCCACCAAACGCGTGCAGCCAGGGTGTCCAGCCAGAGGACCGTCATGGAACTTCCGCAGGAGATCTCGGCGCAGAGCGTCGTCATTCGGGACGACAAACTGTCGGCGATCACCATCTGTACGGACCCAAAAACCACGATCAGAAGTCAGCCTCGCGGTATTTTTGGCAACAGTGAACCATGGGTCAGTTGAGTAACCACGCTTAATGCGGGCAGCAAACTCAGAAACGGACGGCGGCTGGGCAGATTGCGCAGTCTGGCTACGCGTAACCGCAGACAGAAAGACAGCATGCAAGTTGGGGTGTCGGCTAAGCGCATCAGCAATGTTGAGCGAGCCGGACAGATACTCCCAGTTGTAGTTGAAACGCGCCATATACTCCATCCAGCGAGCCTGTCGGCGGTTCAACGTAGGGACCCCTTGCAAGAAAGTGAGGGGCTTGTGGTCAGTCTTGACGACAAACGGACGGCCCTCCAGATAGCAGCGCCACTCGCGAAGAGCATGCAACACCGCGAGCAATTCCTGTTCACCCGTAGTGTAGTTGCGCTCGGCGGACGAGAACTTTTTGCTCGTGAAGGCGACAGGACGCCCTTCCTGCAACAGAACAGCTCCAGTGCCGTAAAGGGACGCATCGGTAATAACCTCGACACGAAAAGGCAGGGAGAAATCAGGGAAGCGCAAAACGATATCACCAGCAACAGTGCGCTTAATGGCGTCAAAAGCAGCTTGGCAGGCAGGAGTCCAGGCAGCAGGGGACGAGAAAGCATTCTTGCCCGTGAGACTCGTAAGAGGCGCCGCCAGAACAGAGTAGCGCGCAATAAACTTACGAAAGTAGTTCGTCAGACCCAAGAACTTACGGAGCTCTTGAACATTGGTCGGAACAGGCCAATCCCGCACAGCAGCAGTCTTGCGGGGGTCCATGCGAACACCGTCAACAGAAACGATGTGGCCCAAGTACTCAACCTGCGATTGAGCCCAATGGCACTTGGAACGCTTGGCGTACAGCTGTTGCTTCCGAAGGATGTCAAACACGAGCCGCAGATGCTCCAGGTGTTCTTCCTTGGTCTTAGAGTAGACTAGGATGTCATCCAGATAGCAAACGACGAACTTATCAATGTACTGCCTGAAGGTACGGTCCATAACGGCTTGGAACGTGGCAGGGGCGTTAACAAGACCAAAGCTGAGGACAGTGTACTCGTAGTGCCCATACGGAGTACGGAAAGCAGTCTTTGGAATGTCAGAGTCAGCAATGCGGATTTGGTTATAACCCTGCTGCAGATCAATGGAAGAGAAGTACGCCGAACCCTTCAGCTTATCCAAGAGATCATCGACCCGTGGCAGCGGGTACTTGTTCTTAACAGTAGCAGCGTTAAGACCCCGGTAGTCAATGCACATGCGCAGCGTACCGTCCTTTTTGCCCACGAACAGAATGGGGGCAGAATACGGGGACGTACTCGGGCGGATCATACCTTTCTTCAGCAGGTCAGTCACCTGACGCTTAACCTCATCCAACTCCAGGGGACTGAGGCGGTACATGGGGCGCGAAACAGGCTGCGCCTCAGGCATCAGGGGAATGGTGTGATCCACGGGACGCATGGGCGGTAAACCAGGAATCTCGCGGAACACATCAGCGTACTCTTCCAGCAGAGCCTCAACCTGCGGGTCCTTGTCAGCGGACTGCGGTACAGCGTTGTTAAGCTGCAGCTTAGGGCGGACGAGCAAGGCATGGGCTCCCTTACGAAGCATGCGCACAGCAGCCTTGCGACCAACCGTTTCGGGCACGGCCTGCTGACAAAGAGCAGCAGCGGCAAAGTTAACAACGGGCGGAGAGGCATCAGGTGTACTCGACGCAAAACACACAGGAACCTTGCAGGTCAGAGTGCCCTTGCGCAGGCGCAAACAGCGAGCACCGAAATCGAGTACGGCAGCGTACTTATCAAGGGTAGCAGATCCCAAGATGTACGACGCAGCGTCAGTGAGCTCTGGCAAGACAAACGGCTGCAGCGTGAGATGCATGTGCCCTACAGACAGGCGCAGCGTCACTTGGCCCAGAATGTCCTGCTTACCTCCGTCAGCGAGGGTAACGTGTTTCCACTCACTAGAGCGAATCCGAAGACCCAGTTGCCGTACGACAGAGTCAGACACGAAGTCATGACTAGCTCCAGAATCGACCAGGGCAGAGAGGTCGCAGCCAGCAGCACGGAGCTTGATCAGCGGCAGTTGTTCACCTGAGACAGCGGCGGCAACTGGCAGAAGAATACTAGACACAACGGGTGCTGCGTTAGCCAAACTAGCAGAGGAAGAGGGGGCATCATACCAAACATCTACTGCATGCGAGACACCAGGCAGGGGAACAAGCTGACCCTCGACGTCTAGCCCGTTAAAGAGAACAGATCCCTTGCTAAACGTATGCACCCGCTTCATACATGTAAGCAGTGGGGAAGCCTTACGTGCGAGGTATGCAGGCAACAGAATGCCACAAGCAGTATCAGGATGCTGGCGTTTGCATGCCCGGTAGTGCACAAGTTGTGACTGAAACTCATGCAGCGTGGAAGGGGTAAACAGGACAGTGTGCCGAGCTAGGCTGACAGAGGACAGAGGACGACCGCGCGGCATGAACAGATTACATGCAACAGCGAACCCAGCGCAGGCAACGCGGGCATCAAACGAGAAACGGCGTCCCACCAACTGTTCGACCTGCTCAAGCACAGTAGGCAACAGAGCCCTAACCGCACGACTAGGACAGACGTCGAGCGCTGCAGGTGAAAGACGCCCAGGAGGTGACCCCTCAACACCAGCCTGGGTAACCCCCTAGCCAACGATCGGCTGGGCGGCCTCCTCAGGAGGCACCCACAGCTCACCAGCGACCGACCGGCAGACCTTCACCATGTGTTTCTTGCTCCCGCAACGCAAGCACTCGTTGTTGGCCAAGCGCCGCTGGTACTCAGTATGGGAACAGGGGAAGTTCCGCATCATCCGCTCCCCCTTCCCCTTCTCAACACCGCCCTTGGCCCCCAGCGTGCCCTTGCCGTTGCCGCCCTTGCCGTGGCCCTTGCCGTTGCCCTTGCTGTTGCCCTTGCCGTGAGCAGTGGCGGCAGCAGCGCGAGGCTGGGACTTCTTGGCGTGCTTGGACTTCTTGGGCGGCCGCTCCACCTCCTCTTCCTCACTCTCAGACATGTCCTGAGCGGCAGCGAAGAAGTTCAGACGGAGGGCAGAGTGGGCATATTTAGAGGCAGTCAGACGGGCCTCCTCGCCCAGAGCAGCCTGTACCAAGTCCCGATAGGAGCTGAAGGGAGTGCCACGGAAGGTAGCGGCACAAGCAGCAGTCAGGCGATCGGACAGGCCAGACTGGAACCAGAACATGCGTTCCCCCTCAGTGGGTTCGGCAATGGCGGTGAACAGCGCATCGAAGCGGCTCTGATATGCAGCGACAGATTCGCTAGAGCGCATGCGATAGCGACCAGAGGCAAGCTTCTGGCGTGCCTCAGTCTCACGGGAACGGATTTGCGGTGCAAAGCGGACCAGCAGGGCATCGAGCAGTTCACGTGAGGTGTACGTAGTGCGAGCAAGGGTCCACTCGTCGTGCCAACGCTTGGCGCGACCCTCGAGCACGTTAGCCAAACAGAGGCAACGCACACTGTCGAGGTGACCACCCCTGACAAGCTCAAAGTACCGGTGAATGTCCCGAATGAAGGCCCTTGTCCTAACCGGGATGTCCCGAGCCTCTATCCTGTCGTCTAGGTTCAGCTTAGGCACCGGAACATCAACTTTAAGTACCTCATCAGCGCGAACAGGCGCGACAGCAGCAGCAGCCACAGGCGCAGGAGCAGGCGCAGCAGCGGCAGGGGCAGGCGCGGCATCAGCAGCCGCGCCGCCAGCGTTGCGCGTGGCTGAAAACGGAGGAAAACGGCGTGGGCGTGGGTCACGGGGCAGGTCAGTTCGTGGCCGGGCGAACATAGCATCAATGTCATCCTGCAGAGACCGTTCTGTCCCAGCCCGGTGGTCAGGTGACTGCGGCACATACTCGCCATCCTGGTCCGTCGGTAACGGCTGAGTATCGAATCCCTGCCCCGGCGGCTGAGCGCCATCACCTAGCCCAGGCGGCAAGCCATTCAGCCGGAAACCACCCCACGTGTCAGACATGTTAACAGCGCAGGAATTACCCCACCGGAAGGCAGCTCAACGCTGTTGAGAGCGTGTGAAACGGTCCGAATCACGCTTTGCAATTGCGTAACCGCGGCCTCAGCGAGCGCCGCGCGAGCTTCAGCGGCCACAGCACGAGCCTCAGCAGCAAAAGCTCGAGCCTCAGCGGCGTCAGCGCGGTTGTTAGCAACCACGACTTCGGCTTGCGCAGCCTCGACGGCGTCTGCAATGAACTAATGAGTTAGCAGGAACCCAACTAAAGTTGCAGCGAGAAATTCAGTTAGAAGGACAGACCATTGTCCGTAGCCATGAGTGACTCGTAAGACAACTCCTCGTCCATGATGTCGGAAATCAGCGGAAGCGATAGCACCTACGAAGAGACCGTCTCGATACCAGCTATGTGGTATCCAATAACTAAGTCCATCAAAGATGGTGGTAGTGAAAACTACCGATTAGGGTGGGCATAGCCCGAAGTAGGCGGCGTCGCGGTACGAGGTTGTCGTACAGGCCTCGAAGTTGCAGATGACGACCCAGACAGACGTATCAGTACGTACAGTAATCGGTAGGCAGTTAAGCACTAGAGACCAGTGTCTCGACTGTAACAGAAACAGTCCCATTCTCGCGACAGTACGAGAATACCGTTGACAGTAACGGGTTTACAGAGCCTTACGTACAGCTGTAAGACTAGTAGCCACAGCTGCTACTCAGATTACGCTAAGTACAGAGCGTAATACAACAATTGGCTTGTGCACCCGCAACCCACCAACCAACGGGCAAGCATGTGCCATCGGATTGGTTACATACATAGCCGCACATCAGGTATGGCCTGTGCGCTTGCCGGCCAGCACATCATGTGTTGGAGACCTGCTCTCCTTGGGGCACAGCCAGCAGTGTACGGAAGGGGTGACACCGATTGACACCGCACACGCACAGTGTGTCACACAAGGTACGCCAGTGTGAATCCATGCAGCAGAGAGGGTGGACGAGCGGTTGTGGTTGCAAAAGGGCGGGGTGCGCAGGACGGAGGAAGGACTGTGGAGTGACCTAAGAAAGCTGGAATATGAGAGAGGGACAAAGCAAGGAGGCGAGATACACATCTGCCCACCAGCGTGTATGTGCTGCTGGCGGCCAGCCCTGTCAGAGAGGGCAAGCTGGCTAAGTCTCGAAGGCTAATCTATTGCACTGAACGGCAGTGTTTCTATCATCCCTCCAGGGCGATCGTGGAACCCCACGATAAGTGACGTTTTAGGCCCATTTTTTTCGACAGCCCTCACGTTCGACCCCTGAAATTTTTCGTATACGATCCGGGGCCTCCCAAGGGCCTATTTTTTCGAAAACCGTTTTCGAAAAGGGGCTGCTAGGTTTTTGGCCTGCCCTTGATTCTAGACGCTCCGCCAGGCCGCGGCTTGGAAGCAAGGGAACAGCCTTAGTGAACACCCCGGCAAATTGTAGAGAATTTAGCGTGAGCTTTTTGGCATCTTTTTCGTGCAAAAGGTTTGGAATTTGAATGTGTATATGCAAGTCACAAAGGCAACCTGCGATTTGGCTCCAAGTCAAGAACGATTGTTATGAGTAGAGAGGAGTTTCTAGCTGCAGCGTTCGTCACATAATCAATCCACACGTGTTTGTTGTATTGTGATGTTAAAATAATGATGTGTATATGGGTGAGCAGTGATATTGGCCTGTGTCGTACAAAGTACAAAACAAGTTACAAAAAAGAGGCATTAAGCGCATGTCGATAGCTTGCTACACGTTGGTATCCGTTAGGTTGTTGTCGCGGTAAGGCCAGCAGCGTAGTTTAATAGGGCCGACACCAATGGCTTCGGTTTTGCCTTCCTTACTCAATACACACAATGGCCAGGGAATGCATGAAAACATATGAAGTTGACGCTCTGTGTAAAGCAGCCGAGACTATTGCTTCTAGCGGACTGAAACTTACTGCCAAGCTATTGCATAACGAAGTGTGCTCCGACACGCGCTTGAAGGGCTTGACATATAAACAAGCCTTACAAACTATCGTGGCTACTGGGAAGGAAGCGTCGCCAAAGACATTGCTGCAGGAAATGGGGCGGCCCAGTATCACTGTAGGCATGGTGCGGAATCGACTGCGGAATGAACAAAGTCAAAAAGGTACGGTCGCTCATAGTGAACTGTTTGAAGGTAATCACTGTTTCGCTGACGACATTGCTCCATCGCACAAACAAAGGTGACAATGTTCCAAGCAGTGCTCAAAAGGAGAGCGGTATGGGTACGTTGTTTATTATGAGTGCATTTCAGAAAAGGTGCTGGAGGAATGCTGCACCGAAGAGAGCGTACCACTGAATACTAGCCCAACATGCTCTGTATGCCACCCACAAACCCCTGCCCACATAGAAGAAGACAACTTTGGCGACGAGGCTCTGCCAGCATATGACAAACGCAGTGGAGTGCAGAGGTGCACAAACACTACAGTTGAAGCAGCAGAGGAAGCCTGCAGATCTCCATCCCCTCCCCTCCCCTGCCAAAGCTTGGATCCCAAACTCAGCCTCTCTGGATGTTATAGCCTCCACGGTTCAATACACTTTTCCTATGCAAACCATGCCACCGCCCTGTCCTCCCCACCCCTACTTTCCTGTTGCCTTACCTTTCCTCGCTTTCCTTTCACCACCAACCCTGTTCTTGCTTTCCTATCCCTTTCCCTGCCCACGCCATCCTTTAGCTTCCATGCCTTTATTGTTCTCTCCCCGTGACTCCCCTTGCCAACCCATTCCCACCCCATCCCTGTGCTCGAATGAGGGTGACAGCGAGGGCAACTGATACCTAGGACCGTGCGTCAGTTACTGTGCACGCCTATGATACCCTCGAGTTGCCAACGCAATTGCAACCCTACTTAACAAGACGGCTTGCCCCTGAGGGCCGCAGACGCCGGGCTTGCTGGTGCAATATGCCAATTCGCACTATCCAGGCATGCCCCTCGACGCTGTAAACGCCTCCCTCATATGACCCTACGCAGCCATCTGACCCTCCCAAACGGGACACCCATGCGCCACTCTCCTAAGCAGCCTCGTCAGCCCCCCAGCCCGCCACCTTACCCACCCAAGCATGACTCCCACACACCGCCATCATAAGCAGCCGCGAAAACGCACCCAACCACCCCACCACACCGTCACCCCCCCATGCTACACACCCATTTGGGCAGGCCATGAGATCGCTTCGGTCTGGTCGTGCCTTGACCAGCGGCAGTACAGCAGCCTAATGGAAGGGCCCAATTCACGACGTGCCCGTACCCTAAAGTGTAGCGCAGCGCTTCTGCTAGCCTTAACCCTTTTGCTCTCTTGGGGGAAGGGTCTCCCCCCCGACCTACTCACGCGCCCACGGTGGTTACTTGTGCGGTGGTAGTGTGCCTCCAGCCACTAGAAGTGGAAAGACCTTCCCCCTCATCACCCCACTTACCTTGGCCGTGACGGATCCCGGCTGCTGCTAGCTAACCCCAACGGTAATTGCAACCCGCACCACCACGGCTATCATGCTAAGGTCCGCCACCGCTTTTCCTTACAAGGCAGCCTGGCAGCAGGGGCGACAGCCGATTGTTGTAAGCATTGCATGCTTTTACACTTGGCGCGGCGTCGATTAAGACACGCGTTCTGGGCGTCGTTGTAACGCTCACAGCATTCAGCGCTTGCCCACCTGAAAGACGCATACATCCACATTTCAGCCCAGCCTTTATACGGAGCTTCTTAAACATTGCTTGTTTGCTTCGGAATTCCAAGTCGCAAGCAAATCGCTTAACATAAATGTTCCCGCCAAACCACAAGTAAGGCGAGTCTGTGCTCGCAGTTGCAAAATAATGTTGTAATGAACAAGCTTATTACATAAGGTTGAACACAAAAGCTAATAGGCATTGCCGTCGTGTAAGTCATGGTCGCAGTTCTTGCATGTACGACGCCCTTGGTAACTATGCCAGCCAAGACTAGTAGAGGTATTCCCCCAAGAACCAGGTTGGTCTTGGCCTCTGCGGTGCTCGACAACGAAGCAAGGGAAGCCATATCAATGCAGCCCTTTGCACCACTGCACTGTCTGCGCCTTAGAAGACCCCTGGGACCATTCTGCTCCCAGGGGTCCTCCAGCATGCAGGACTGCCATGTGCGCGTGTTGACACGTGTCCCCCTACCTCTTCATCACTTCACAGCTTTGGTTTGGAAGGAACAATAAGCAAAGGTGTAGGCAGCAGTGTACGTGCATTGGCCATGTGTGGCGTGGAAGTTCCATGTAGCCAACCAGCTTGCATAATCAGCTTGCATGGGAGGTCAGGGGTCCAGCAAGTTAGTATCGAGTTGCCTTGCTTGTTTTCCCGTAGTTGGGTGTTATGCAATGTTCCCGATACTTGTACGGTGTATGTGCCCAAACCCTGCCATGCACAAGCTACTCCTCCTAACATTTAGCATGGTTGGCTCCTGTTTTCCTGTTATGCCGCTCTATGTCGTTCTAGCCATAACCCGACAACAAAAGACTGAGGTCGAGCCCACAAAACCAGGTAACTGTGCCATTGGAGCCTGGGGAAAAAGTGAATTGGGCAGGCTCGCTCGGTGCGTGCCTACGGCTCCGGGTTTGGGACCACGAGGCAAAAATGTGAGCGTCGATCCCACGATCTTAAGCACGTTTGACAATATTTCATCGTGGGGCTCCACGATCACCAACCCTAGAAAAGCTCAAAGATCGTTGACGATTTCGGTCATTTTCCGCCTTAAGAAATGTGCCATTTTCAGAAATTTTTTGAAAAAACGAAGTAAGATAGAAACGCTGCTGAACGGCGGCACCCCGGCCTCTTGCTTTTGCAAGCCCGGAAAAGGGGACCGCCGTCATGCCGGCAATCGGTCCTTGGAGCTGCGGCAGGCACGTCGAGCAGTGCAGCCATCTGCATGCCCAACGTCAAGACTCCCACGTCATGGCCCACAAAGCAAGCAGCTAATAAGGTGTGTTGTCCTACCTGACTCTTGTGTCACTGGGTGAGGGGTGGCAAGAGGTAGGGGCGCTCTTTTGTCATACTGCCTGCCTCCATTGTATGTGTTGCTGCTGCTGTGACGTGTGCTGCTGTCTGGGACTTCCACATGGAGCATGCATACACCCTTCGGAGAAGCCAAAATCACTCCTAAGG